ACAAATCAAACACATGAAGTGTGAACCCCGTCCGTTTTGGTGTGTAACACCCCACGTACATAAACCACTAAATTTCCGTACATATATTTTTCTCGCTTTAGTGCAGAAATACGCACACGCTAGTGCAGAAAAATTCATCTTAGGAGAAGAAATATTTTGTGTTAGCAGCCACGTTTAATACCTCCATATTTCAGTGACGGCCTTGACTTAGGTTCCGTGACACTGCCCTGGTCAATACTGTAATCAGGGCTGCCAACTATCCTTAACTATGAGGTGTCATACTGAGGATAAAAAAGTACCAAATAAAAAAATAAAAGTGCCAAAAAAGGTGCCATCCTTTTTAATTTTTCCCATTTAGCAATAAAATAAGAACCACATTTCTAAAACAAAAGTGCAAAGGCAAAATAAGATAAACCAGTTGAATAATCTTTAAAAATTAGAAAATTTTAGTTGAGAAAAAGAAGTACACGCAAAGAATTTCACAAAAATGTATTGAAATATTATTATTTTTGAAAAGTTTTGTGCCAAATTGAAAACTTAAATGCCATTTGATGTAAAATAGGGCCAAAAATAGCACGGTTTGAGGCAAGTTGGCAGCCCTGACTCTAATACCGTGCTTCTAGAAACAACTAGAAACTAGAAACAATTACTCTTTGGCTAAACAAAGGTTTGGTTGGCCCTATCCCCCGGCCAATTTTAAATAGTACGTTAAATCCTGGAAAAAAGTCTGGACTAGAAATGCGCACGTGACAGTGCATGATTCACGTAGTTTTGCCTGTTCATAACTAGCAAACAGATAATCGCACAATATCTGCAAAATTTTAATGAAAACACAATTTTTGTATGAAATTTCAAAGAATGTTTTGTTAAATTTTAAATGATTTTGCTTAAACTAATGGCTTTAATTATTGGTTTTTATTTGATGTCATGGCAATGAATAATTAGTTTGTAAGTAGATAACGTGTACATTAGAGTGGTCCAAAATAATAAAGTCGGAATTTTAATGCCGCCAGCCCCTAGGATTGTTCTGAACCGAAAATAAATATACCCTTATTTTTTTATTTTGAAATCAAAAAATATTTAGGGAGTGCTCACAGCGCTCAAAATTTTCCATGTATTTTATATGGGGAAAAAACAAATTTTCTTAAAAAATGGTATAAAACTCTTGAAAATCAATATTTTTCAATCGTAAAACTGTGGTTCTCTTCAGGAGACTCCAAATAATAATATCCAATTGTTGAATTTCTTTCGCTATGATTTTTTTTACAGCGCCAAAGCAACAACCATTTTGGAATTAATTGTTTTTAAATTTATTAAGTTGAAGAATCGTACATTAGATTGTTCAGGATCGCTATATAGTGGCTGGGCAGAAGGAGCATTGGCTTTCTGTTTAGTGCTCATCGGGGAAGTCTGAATCAAATAACTACATTTGAAATATTATTACGGTGACTATCCGTCCTTTAATTTAAAAGATACTCCCTTATTTTACCCATCTGTCCTTTAGATTTTTTTTAAGTAAAGCGCTCCTTTTGTACTTCATTTCTTTTGTTCTCCTTTAAATAAGCTCTGGATTTTTTCACAGGTTAATTTTAAATGTAGTACGAATTATGAGAAAATGCTTGGCTTCAGTTCAGTTTTAACTTGAATTTACTTCTTAGTAAGTGACTTCATAAGACTAGGTTTAAATAATTATATTTGTTCGGCTGATTCAAGAAAATATAATCATATGTACAAAACACGAAAATCAGCGCGTTTATTATATTTCATCACCCAGAGGCTATGCTAAATATATGATCGAAATGTACTTATTCTTACTAAAGCAGGAATTTGAGAAAGTGTGCATACGGACAAACATATGCACTTGCGTACAAAGATTTTGAATTTATATGCGTAATTGCAAATACATAGAAAACAATACTCGATTGAAAACAATTGCGATAACGAAGTAAATACTTTGCTTAGAAATACAGGGTCATATGAAATATAAATTTTCAGAAAAATTTCCCTAATTCAAAATTTTAATTCACATCACTGGTTATCGAAGACTGAATGTGAAATTCGTGTTATGAGCTATGCAACCGTGTCGAAACTTTCATTGAGTATCGAATTTTCTGTCGAACAGAATTTTGTTTTCGATGCTGTTGCGAAGTGCTAGGAAATTGTGAAAAATGTATGACTTCACGTTTTTTCCCTTACCTTTTGGCGGCTAATTTTAAACATTTTTTATTAATTTCATGCAGGTCTAACGTCGTAAATACCAAATACAAGACCGAAAGGCTGGTTCCATTTATGAAAGAAAATCCCAATATGCTGTTGGCACGATCTCTGAGAACAAAATCGTAGAGCTCTTGATTTATTTTAAAATACATGCTTTAAATAGATTTGGGTCGAGAGCTTTGCTGCAGCAGGTTTTGTGCACGTCGTCGAACCAGAACACCGTTGTACTCATTTTTACCAAGTTTCTATTAACTCGCCTTCTTTATTACCTCATTTTAATTTGCAAAAAATTACATAAATATGTATAAGCACACTATTTAGTTTGCTCGATTTGTAAACAAAGCTTTTCAACGGTGAAAAATACATATTTATTGTGAACAACATAAGCGAGCGAAATTCACAATAGCGCTATTCTTCATCGAATGAGCGTCATAATACCAAATGAAAATTCGTTCGATCAGCACTTTCGACCACAGTCGAAGAATCTTCAGCATACGTCTGAAGATCGCACATGTATAACGCCACATTTATAATTAGTATTTTTGCCAGGCAATTTCGATTTTTTTTTACCTCAATAATACAACGAGAACGAGAAAACCAACCAGCCAATGTACCCAGAATGTCGTTTGAAAACGATAAAAAATCAGCAGCGGTGCAGTAACCGTCAATATTTTACAAAATTAAATTTTAATCTTAAAAGCGAAAAAAATAAAATGGTGTGGAACTTTGCTGTTTGTACAAGCAAGGAAAATGAAATCGTATTGCATGCGTCAGTATGTTGTATGACTTGAAAATGAGCCGTATCGGGGAAAACGGGCAGACGCTACATGTTGGCTAAGGCGCTGGAAAGGAAGGCACGCAACCTCACAGTATATGTACATATGTAAATTTTAGGAGTGGTTACGGTGATCGCCTCAAGTGTAACTTTTATATCTCTTGCTGCTTATTCAAATCCGCCGGCTATCAGAAAGCTTCCATCAATCACTTTCAAGGAAAACTTTTTGGTTGATATTTAAACCGCTCCTGAACTGACTTGGCAGTTGTTTTTTTTTGCAGTGGTTCACAAATATACATTTATTATTTGATGGCGGAATAAAAACACATTGTGAAGATACGTTACTGTCAATATAGAAGTATTACATATGCATATGGGCACCGCCTTGGATGCGGGCAAAGCTCTTTTAAGCTTTCTATACATTTTGCATAGGCGCGTGCGGAGTATAAACTCCTTCTGGCCATCGCTACATTAGGAAGATAAGTTAGGGTGGTTGGAACTGTGATCTGGTGAGTAAGTACTAGAATACTTGAGGTAAATGAACTTTTTCTCGAGGCAAGAACATCGATATATCATATTTTTTGATCAAACTGTAAATGCTGAAGATATGACGGAAAAATGCGAAAATGCGACCACTACAAAAACCTTTTTTGTTTTCAAAATACTATAAAAATACTATCAAACTCAGGGTGTGCAGCGAACTTGGTTTTAAGTAAGGAAATGGTATGTACGTACATATATATTTGCTCACAAAAATTAATGATCAGATTTGGAATTGAGGTCGAGTGGTTAATAGCCATTAAGCAAAGATGTTATGAAGGGGACTTTGTACAAATGCATACATATGTAATTTATGTGCATATGTATGCTGATAAATATGTACGTAAAAATATGCACAAGTCTTTTTATTTATAATTAGCCCATAAAAGAGATTTTAAAGCTTCCTAAACTTTGAGCGCAGAAGTCATTAGGTACAGAATATACATACATACATATGTATATGTATGTATGTAAAATGTGATAGGTTTAGCAGCAAAGACCGCGAATCTTTCAGATAAGATGGCTACTAAGCTTTTTGCTAGTCATTGAACTCGTTAAAGCAAAATGTTTAGACAAATGCGAATAAATTTGTTGAAGAATATCACAAACGGAAAAAATCTGTTTCGAATGTTTTTGTCAGCCCATCTCACCATCGACCATGGATAAATTCAGAAGCAGCAAATACATCCCAGCAGTAAATCGCGCTAGTTCAGAGCCAGCGCAAAACTAGCTCTTTAAGAGGCGCTACTGGTTCTCGATCTATCCTAACGCAATGCTTTCAACTGTCTCTTTTTGCCCCCCTCTGCAGAAATTTCGAACTAGTTCTGAACTGGTTCCAGTTTGGACAGTTCTGGGACAATAAGTTTTTTTATGAGACAAAATTTTAAAACTCGATTATTGAATAATTTCTCTTTTCTGAGCTGGTTCCATTTCGGACAGGTCTGCGACAATTAGTTTTGTATGAAAAAAATTTGGTTTACTCGATTTTTTTATATTTTTTCGTTTTTTCTGTACAAATTGCATTTTGTAAAACTTTTATTTATTTTTTTATTTTATTTATGTACATATATTAAATTTAATTATTTTCCCTTCAATTTCTAAGCTGCACTCAGTAATTTAAATTTATTAAATCTGAAAATCATAACTGCCGGCCAATGATGTTAGAGTCGCAACTAGCACACCGAAAGTTTCAACTGTCTCTCTCTGCAGCCGTTTTGTACTAGTTCAGAGATATGTAGTTCGGAATTGTGTAGGGCTTTAACAGACTGTCTCTAAATTTTACTGCAGGGATACTACAAAGTATGAACATAAATACATACATACATACATACTTGCCAAGTGCTCCACTAAGCACATTTGTAAAAAAGTATACCATAGCTTGATTGCGATTACAGAAAACTATCGCTTTGTTATAGCCGCTCCAATGCTTCTGAATGGCAATGTTATTGTCGTCGTTTTTTATAAACACCTTTTGTGCCGCAATGAGTCTGCACGTTTGCATCTCGAATTTTTGGCGTGCAATGCGATGACTTAAATGTTGAATTTTTTAAGTCGCATTTGTTGCCTTATATATACGTATTTATGCACATACATATGTATGTATGTAAGTAAAACTGCCAGTATCGCCTTTCAACCACATAAACTT